ATGAGCTGTATATATAGATTTTTAGCAGTGCTTTCCTAAGACCCATACATTCTTTGAAGGGTTCGCCACAGAAAAAAAGGTTGAGAAAGGCAGCTCTAAACCATACGTCTCACTTTTTCTAGCATACACTGTATAAAAAAATAAAACATTATGTTTGGTAACCTTAGGAAAACCTTCTCATAAATGTCTCACGATAGTCAAACAATCAAGGGACACAGAAAAGCTTTATGTCTTTGCTTTTTGTTTCAGTGCCAGAAGGCCACTTCCTTCCTTCTTATATTGCAAAAAAAAGACATCAAAAGATAATACATTGTCCTGCAACTATAAGAACATCTGAGAGTGTTCGCAGAAACATAGCTGTGCTCTATCAACGTCACAATCTATATTGTACAGGAAATCTGCCAGTGGGTAGCAGATTGTGATTAGTGGAAAGTTTATCAAGAGCATTTTGCTCTGATGCTCTGGAAAGGAAGTTTAGAGGCCTCTACAATGCGTGACTGCAAAAGGGGAAAATGACAGCTGCACTGCCGGCACATTAGGTGTTCACAATCATAGTGCTGGAACTAGTTTGTTTTTTTTTTACTATCAGCAGACATCTGCAATTTATTATTTTTATTAGCAACAGGCAAGATAACGTAGCTGCAATTGTGATACCCCAACTCACGCAATTTAAAGTGCATCTCAAGGCAAAACTTTTTTGTTTTTTTATAATTTTGGTGCCCAACACAGTGCCAACTTTTTTTTTTAAGTTTATTAAAATATTGCAAGTGACATTTCATTAAGTTCTAGGGCACAGCAGGGGGCGAGGAGGTTGTACTGCGTCACATCTTGCTGCGCTGAAAAAAAAAGTATGGTGTGCCGTACTTTCTTCAGTGCACACCATTGCAACGCACGGGAACCTAGCCCATCCGTGATAAGGCAAATTGCCTTGTCTTGTGTTGGGGCTGCACTGAAAACAACACCCAGTGCAGCCCCAATGCATATGGTGTGAACCCACCCTAAGACCTTCTGTCAAGTTTTTATTGCAGTCTGAGTGTGAAGATTCACCACTCTATTTGTACTGGTGACCATTATTACCAAAACAGAAAGAACAGGAAAAAACTGTCCCCAGAACAAAAGACAAGGAGAAATCTTCCAATGGGGGACACTCGTTTCGGAGATACACTTTACAACCATCGCAAGACTTCAGACAATTAAAAAAAACGTACGATCTGCCCATCTTGGACACGCAGATCGCACTTGCGATCATCGCAAGCCGGCCCTGCTGAGGGGTGGGCTTCCGATCACCGCAATGCTGAACGGGCAGTGTGCACGTGCGCACACCGGCCCGCGCCACAAACCAGTGGTTTTCGAACATGCTCCTTAGACAAAAGACATGGGACCGTACACTAAAAACGGTCGCACGCCTGCCATACACTTTGCGATTATCGTACGATCGCGGGATTCCCCGCTATTATCGTGCGATAATCGTACAGTGTATGGGCACCTTTAGAATGAAATTTCCTTCACTTTGGGAGATTTCTTCTAACTTCCAGTTGTGTCTCTGAGACAGAAGGTGAAGGAAAATTTTGCCAATGGTACATAGACGGCAGAAAAATAAATATATCGATAACCTGACGGCTTTTATAACCCTTCTCTACTCTATCAAAAACTAAAAAAAAAAAAAAAAAGTTTTGCCTATACATACACTTTGATGACTTAACTAACAAATGTAATTTATGTACAAAAAAAAACATTAGTTTAGCACTAAATAGTCAATATAAGTTAAGTTTCCAAGACCACATTCACATCCAACATATCCAGGAATGAATTACTAACACAATATAGAATCTTTTGTATATACTGTACTTTGGAAAACACAGGGACATGAAATGGAAATATGGGCCACATGAAATCTAGCTAAGTGGAACATGACATGAAGATGAAGGGCACATGTAAGGAAAATGAGGGGCACATGTAAGGAAGATGAGGGGCACATGAAACAGTAAGTGTAATTATGGTAAGCGGCACATGAAATGAAGATGAAAAAGTACAGTATTTCCACACAAGTTGTCTATGTTAGGTCCTATCGGAGGTCCTTCCAACAGCACTAACAGTCTAGTCTGTCTGGTCAAAGCATGCGTTGGAGGTTTCCCTGTACATGTCACTGGAAAATCCCTTATACTCTCTGCAAAGTCAGAGTGATCTAGTAGAATAAATGTATGATGTCAATAGTGGTGGGATGAGGTTATTTAACACCCAAGGCGAAAAGGCCAAAATGTGCCCACCATAAGCTGTAAACTACTTCAGCCGTGTAGGCTTAAGGTTCCCCCCCTTCTGCTATCAAATCATCAAAATAAGCACAGTTTTTTTTTATTTCACCTTTCACTCTCTCACCACACAGTATGTAGGAGTAAAGCTCTTGCAATGTGGTTTCATAGGACTGTATATGTCAGTGCCCCTTCTTAAATATCTTATTTACGTTAGCTAACCTCTACGAGATGTACCGGCGTTCTGGAAAGAACTTGTACGACTGCTACTCCTGGGATATGCATCACCTTAAATTCCAAGGCTTAATTCCAGGTAATTGTTTACAGCACCAATAAACATTAAAACATATATATGGCCTGAATTAGCTTAAGCGTCAACAAACTGACCCAGTAGGATGCTCAATTCTCTCTTCCATTAACACAGAGGGTGTGTTTGTTGTTGGTGCTATCTATCAAAGAATTGTTCCACAAAATATACAAGCAATAAAAGAAAACAAATGAATATGGCGTCCTTGAAACCTATCATCATTGATTCTAAATTTCCCCAGGTCTCCATAATGGCACTTCAAACAAGTATAAGACAATGATCCAAGAGCACCTCCATTAGCAGTAAATGCAGTGAAAAAGTGCATGACCCTCCCTTCACCTTCACATTACGGAGCCGTTATTATTTCCAAGCATGAGGATCATTAACAAATACAAACCCTCCCATCAAGACACAGGATACTATGTATGTGCACTATATGGTAAGAAGACTACTTCCAAAAAAAAACCCCAGTCACTAAAATCTCATATAATATTTAACATGTTAATTAAATTCCAAGAGCTGCTTTCTGTCTTTCCAAAAATACAGCTTTATTTAGATAATACTTGGAGATACTGCCACAAATATTCCTGTCCAGGCTCCTTCTGTTAACTGCCTCCTAATTGTACTCAAGCGTTGTCACCCAGCCATGCGTTGTCTCCTGTTGGAGACTATAAGGACACATATTGGCATAGTCAACTGTTGTCACCATCATATAGCTGTTCCAGAGTGCATATAGACAGGAAGTGGCTGTAATAGGCTAGAGGAGATCAGTAGAACTGATTAGGATGAAAAACTGTAAAAACTGTATTTTATTAGGGAAAACACGGGCAATTGTTTAAAATGCACAGTGCTTTAATAAAACTTAAAGCCCATCTCCAGAATAAACATAAACCCGCTTCCCACCACCTTCTAACCGATTACTAGAATTAAAAAGAACTAAAGCCACGGTCACATGACGCTCAGGTCCTGAGTCATCTCTTGCTTACTTCCAGCAGAATCTTCTTTGGGTGTGCACATCACTGTGTGTGTGGTGTGAATACTTCCTATTGGCTGTCCAGTGGCAAGGTCCTCTCAGGCCTGGTTCACACCTGGGCGTTTTACAGCGCGTTCCTACGTGCTATAAAACGCTCAACATGTGAAAACCAATGATTGCCTATGGGCATGGTTCCCACCTGAGCGTTTTACAACGCGTAGGAGCGCGCTGTAAAACGCCCTACGCCCAAAGAAGTACAGGAGCTTCTTTGGGGCATATTTGTCGCGCGTATCCATTGGGATACAGCCAGGTAGCCCTCGGAAACGCGCGATTGTCGTGCGTTTTTTGTACCGCAAATCGCTGTAAAAACGTGCGGCATGAAACGTGCGGCAAACGCGCATATTCCGTACGCCTAGGGGTAAACCCAGCCTCAGGATCCATAAGAGGAATTAAATCAGCGGTCTCCAGTGCATCTGCTGCACAGGATTAGTGATTCCCAGCACTCAGAATTTGCAGGAATGAGGGATCTGGACAGGGGACTTAGGCCAGTATATCTTACTTCACCAGGTTAAAAAAAAAAAAAAACTCTGGCCCTCCAGATGTTGTGGAACTACAAGTCCCATGAGGCATTGAAAGACTGACAGTTAGAGCATGACCCCCAGAGGCATGTTGGGATTTTGAGCTAAAGCACAGCTGGAGGGCCAGAGTTGCCCACCCCAGGGTTACTGGGGGTTGGGATAGAGGGTGGCAAGAAGGGTATATTTTACCTGGAATGTGCCCGGGTAAAAAAAAAACTCTCCATGTAGTGGGGCTGCTCACCCTAAATGATCGTTTAGGTCTGGGGTACCTGGGTAAAGGACTATTACTTACCTGATCCCTTCTCCCGCAGGCTCCAAGCCCAGCACCCACACCCTCTTTCCCTTGGAGGCCCACTGGCGTCATCCCTTACAATGCAGGGTCCATAGCCTTCAACTATATGAGAAGACTGAGGGACAGTCCACAAGCTGGAGCATTGGAGCATAGGAGTAATGCTGCAAGGAAAGTTTTTTCATGTGATCCCGTTAGGGTTTAGATTTACAAAGGACAACACAACTCTACTCCAGACATGGATCCATGCATACTGTCACAGCATATATGTCCCCTGCATCAGCAAAGAGGACAGACAGATTCATGTTATGTGCTCATTAGCCAGCACAGATTAATAGGGATGCTGGCTGAAATGAAAGCACAGAACACTGTGCCATCATTCTCAACACCGAGCCAAGTTCCCTCCAACTCGGTAAGCAGCAGCTCTCCAGATGTGGTTGAACTACATGTGCCAGCCAGCTCTATAGTAGTAGGGTGTAATGGCATCCGGTGCAGAGCAGAGTGCAATGTAGGCTATCCCTACCCTGATCAGACAATAACCTTAGTGAGTAGCCAGGCAGTCTCTGCACACACACTCTCACATACACACACGCCGTGTACTCACCGCTGCTCGCCTGCCCAGACAGAGTGGATACGGAGGTCTGGCCCATCGCTCCAGCTCCAAGAGGGGCCCTTTGTATTACAGTCCGGCGTCTCTCATGCTCCCTTGGCCGTGCATTACCAGCAAAAACAATCCCATGGGTTCATTTCCTTTCTCGTGATGCTGCTGAGAGCCGTGCAGTATGTCGGCGGTCCGATGTAGCCGGGGCTCCTGTGTTCCTGCTCGGCTGAATGCCTGTCATTCCTGCAGCAGATTACTGCGGGTCACAGGTCACACACATACACAGTGTGTCCCCTCCCAGCCATCCATCCACTGCCCCTCAACTTCTCACTGCTACTGACTACTGCCTCCCTCATCTTCTGCTTTCTTCTACTTTCTACTCTCCTCCCCTTTTTATCATTTTACACTTCCACCACGAGCAATGTTTTCCTTCTGTGTTCTCTTTAAAGCGTGTGACTTATTTCGTGGCTCCGAGTTCTTCCCCACCTTAGTACTGGAGCAATGAGTTCAATTTTTTAACTCACATGCTTAAATCTGAATTTGTGGATACACAACCTCCCCAAACAGGTATGTATTTTCTGAAAGCAGAGGCCCTGTAGAATAAAAAAAAAAATAGCTGCATTTTTTTTTTATGTTCCCCTTTTTTTGCACAAATGTAAATCAAATAGATATTTTTAGGGAAAAAACACTAAAATGAATTTTAGCACAAGCAAACACAATATAATACTCAATTTTTGGGTAAAATGTAAAAGATGGGGTTCAGGTTGAGTAAATAGACATCAAACATGTCGGGGGTTAAATTTGCAGGAGCCCGGGCAATGGTGATAAGCTGTGGTACTCAAAATTGTCCAAGTATGCATTAAAAAGCCTTCACTGCTTATCAGTTTAGAGTTAACAGTGAATTATGGACCTAGAATTATTGCTCTCACTCTGACATTCGCATCGATACCCAACATGTGTGGCGAAATCATATACATACACATGCATGCCCGGCGCACACGTGTTTATTCACATGCAGATGTCAGGGCAACAGGGTCGGTTTACGTTTTCTATTTATTTTATTACTTTTTTCCACTTAACTTTATTGCAATCACAAACTGGCTAACAATTCCCTATGTGATAGCGTTTGGAGGTGGCAGGTTCTTTTTATGGAGACATGTTGGGTCTATTAGACTCCTGATGTCTCTCCTGCCTTAAAATACAGATGATGAAACACAGGAATGTGATCGCCTGTGCAACCTGCATGTCTGCTGGCTTCTGACAGCTCTGAAGTAGGAAGTCCTGTCAGTACAGTTTCATTACAGGGCAGATTTGCAAATGGATGTTACTCAATCTGCTCCGACTCTCCATCATGAGACTGTTTGCTGTGGTCCTGGGCCCCCAGAGGAGCAGGGGACCCCAAAAACTATGGCAGGGGGGTGTAAGCGGGGGCAGCACATTAACAGGTTGCTACAAGTGACCTGGGCAGCTATACAGCCATGTTACATATTAGTTATTCTTCCATCCATGCTGTTAGCATGAATGGGGGAATCGAAAACTGGAGATGAACAAGAAAAATGTCAGAAAATATGGCCAGCGTAACTCTGTGTATAATATGTGGGTTTCAGAACCATTTCCAGAAAGGTATAAGTGCATTCTCACATACAGAGGTGACTGGAGTTTTTCCCCATTGGAACAACACCATTCATTAATGAATAGATATTAAAGGAGAACTATGAGGTGAGTGCTTTTCACTCACCTCATAGTTCTAGCCGACCTGTGACAATGAGACTGTCACAGGTCGGCTCAGTAGATCGGGAGGTGAGCGAACACATACCGGCGTTCGCTCGCCTCTCGATCCTGTCACAGCCCTCTGCCGTGACAGGGGAGGGGCTGGATTCCCCCCTCCCCGCTCCGATCCTCCAGCGCTGACTGGCAGAACGGACGGGGGAGGGGGCGGGTACAGCTGCCTCTGCCCCCTAGATAGGCAGAGCCAGCTGTCACTCATGCAGATGGGCGGATCCAGACATAATTTTCGGGATCCGCTTCAGCTGCGGCGTCTCAGTATACCGCGAGCTGTAGCTCGCAGTATACTGACCTTAGGGTGACGTGAGCACGCTAGTTTGTGTCCTCCCGTTACCCTAAGGAGAAATATGGGGAAAAGCCTTAACCCCATAGTTCTCCTTTAAAGTGATATTAAAGTCAAAAGGTATTTAAGCTATATCAAATGCTGATAAAATCACTTACAATGGAGGCTGCTCCTTGATGTTCACAAGTTTAGTTTCCCGCAGAATCATCTGGTCCCCTGATGATCGATGAAAGGTCGCCTTGTGTGTGCTAGTGATCTGTGTATGTCTTCACAAGCACACAGCAAAGCAAGACTCTCCTCTGCTCGCCACTCCTTCTTCTGTCTCCAAGCTACTATAGGGACAGCTAAAGGAGTCTGCACTGTCCCTTGTGATCTTATACTGGACAGGAAGTTCAGGGAACAGAGCAGAGAGAGTTGGAGCTGTTCGGAAACATGATGACTAAGTGCTTGAGCAAAAATTGCAAAGAAATACTTTGCCGGGCGATGTATAATTGTTTGATCTGGATTCATTTAAAAAAAAAAAAATTTTATTACTTTAAACACCTTAGTTATGGGAGAAATACACTGTAAGTCCCATCACTAAGTGCCCAAATGACTGGTCATCTACACAGTACGTGAAGAGCTATTTGGGGCTCTGTTATGCACAAGCCGCAGAGGATCAGTGGTTACCTTCAATAATGGATGCCTTAGTATTGAGGCATCCATTAATGAAAGAGTTAAAGTGACATTAAAGGATGCATTTTTTTCCCTCCCCCCATGTTAATGTCAGCACTTATCTTAAATAATGTCTCTTAATCCGATCTTCCTCTTCTTTCCCCATGTTTTCATCTGTCCCTCCAGCGGTGCGGCGGCTCTCCGATCCAGCGCTGACTCCTCTCTGCTTACAGGCACTTCCGATCCAGCGGTGTCGGCAGGAGGGTGCACGCGTCCATAGACTTACCTTGCGTCTCTGCTCGTCTCTTTTGACTGTTGTGGGAACGATCAGAAGCCTTTAGTCCTGGTTCACACCATACACACCGCACTACATCGCATTATGGCCAGCTCACTATGTTGTGGGGCAGGAGGGGGCGTGGTAGTCCATTAGTGAATGGCACCGTAGCCACGCCCTCCAGCCGCAATGTGATCGACCGCATGGGAACCCAAGGTACATCACCGCCTGCAGTCCAGTATGGTCTGAGCAAAATGCTGGAAGCACTATTTTGTTCGGACCAGACCGCAGGCATTGATGTACCTTGAGTTCCCGTGCGGTCAATCGCATTGCGGCCGGAGGGTGTGGTTACGGTGCCATACACTTCAATGGTCCGCCACGCCCCCTTCTGCCCCACAACATAGTGAGCCAGGACCGCAATGCGATGCAGTGCGTTCTGGCTAGAATCGGGCCGGAAAGCATTGTGTCTGGTGTGAACGAGGCCGGACCAGATCTGTGCGCTCATGCACCCAAAATGCATCCCAATGTATCCCTATGTGTTTTATGGGCTACAGTTCTCACGTGCACATTTCGTTCCGGTCCGGACAGAGAAAATGCTGCATGTCACAATTTGTCCGGTCCGGATACGCCCCGGAAACGCACGAACGCATCAGAAACGAAATTGCGCAGAAAATGCATTGCACTGCAGCTAACATACTGACAGCCCCACTCCCACCAAAAAAAAAAATATTTTTTTTTAACTGGAACGCGTCAAAAACTTGTCAAAAACGCATAGCACCGCGTCTGCAGATCTGCTCCAGATCCGGACCAGATCTGGTCCGGACATCTTGTGAACAAGCCCTAAGTGACATCTGAACCTGAAATGCTGCAGGATCAGCATGTAAGGATCAGCGTCACTAAGGTTATTATTGGCTGTTCCTAAGTTTGGTGCAGCCTAATAATAACCAAAAATTATATAATTAAATTAACAGTCATAGTGAGATCCATTCACAATGACTGCTTCATATAAATAAAAATAAATGAAATAAATGTGTAAAAGATTTAAAAAAAGATAGTGTAAAAAGAAAATAAAGTGTAAAAAAATACAAATAAAAAATGATATATATAAATATATTTTTATACTATCATTTTTATAAAAAATACAATGAAAATCTGCAGCCAAGCTGCAGATAAATTTTTCCCCCTAACAGGTTTCTAACTGTGACACTTAGTGACAGTGACATTGTATGCCAGGTGACCACTATTACCTTTTAAAGAAAAAAATAAATAAAATGTTAGGTTTTAGTTTTAGGAGGAGAAGTAAGGAAAACATTCTGAAATCCTAGGGATGTGAGGTGTTTATAAAGGACAAATAAATTAATTTATTTGAATACATTTTTTTAGCTGTGCTATTTTTTCTAAAAAAATAATAGTAATCAATACTGGGGAAAAAGTGTTTTCTTTACCTTTTTTCCTAATTTCTGTATATTTTATTCATCCTAAGTGAGGCGTTAGGCACACATATGTGATCTAAATATAATGCCCTATCTGTCCTCTAAAAACAATATATAATATGTGTGGGTGCACACAGTAAGAAAATATATTACTGCCATGAAAGAATCACACAGCAAACATGTAAAAAGTGCATCAGTCGTTAACGAACATAAACTGAAAAGCAAGAACAGTCATGAAGGGGTTAAACACATGTGCAGGGCTCTTCTTTTATATACAAATACTCTGGTGAAACCTATAAAAAAAAACGCTAAACATCCAAATGTTTAACAACAATCCACTGTTGCATAATAAAATCACAGCTTATCTCCATGTGTACGCAGAAGAAAATATTACAATGTATCTTCATATAACAGTGTAACTAAAACACTCTCCATGTTACTGGCTGACTATATAGAAGTGTTCAAACAACAAAAAACAAAGACACAGTATCCACACACAAAAAAATCACAAAGAGGGGAATTTATCAAAACTGGAGCTGACAAAATCTGGAGCAGCTGTGTACAGGACCAATCAGCCTCTCTCTTTTATTTTTAAATCTTAACTCAACAATCTTAAGAGACAAGCTGATTAGTTGCCATGCACAGCTGCTCCAGATTTTGTCTGCTCCAGTTTTGATAAATTCCACTCTCAGTATCCATACAAAGAACTCATAAATGTGATTTTTTTTTCCCACATACACCACATGTGCCAGGCCATTTCAGGTGGCCATCGCACCTCTCCTGCAGCTGCGGCACCCCCCTAGTCTCCGCCCCCTTCTTTGTCTCAGCTGTTGGCAGCAGAGAGCAGGACAGAACTCCTCCTACAAATCCTGCGCCTCTGTGTGCAGCCACAGCACCCCCTCTTCTCCGCCTCCCCTAGTCTCAACATT